TCTAAAGGGGATGATTCTTTCATCAAGGGTATAAATTGGATATTAATATTTCATAAAGTACCGTTGAGGGTTAGGTTAGATACACAGTGGGGCATATCTCAGCCCTATCATTTGGTCCCTTTACTTTACATGAATTTCATTTACTGCTCATATTTACACCCTATTACTCTTAAGCAATTTCTCGTCCATACGTAGGTGTCTTCCTACTGAATTTTACTATAAATGTACGCATAATTTTTATGTGAGGATTATCATTGTCAAGATATGTGTAAGATGTGGAAAATTATAGTTTCATGTAGTTAAATGAGTATAATCAAAAGTCATAACTAATTTCTATATTCGAAACAATTAAAAAGTTTTTTCATAAAATAAACAGACGCGAAACATGATTACTTAAATAGACATTAGCATTTTGTTAAATGAAATGATAAAAAGTAAAGTTTAAATAAATTTATTACAGAATACCCATTTCAGTATCGTAAATATATCCTTATCCTTATATCCGAATGTCTTAAATATGCTTAATCTTAATATTCATAAAATATCTTGGAAGTCATGTGAATTTGTTTTTTAATTTTAATGTTTATACTGTAAAAGAGAATGTACATATACATATGTAGGATGTACAAATACTGTAATATAAAATAGTAGATTACAAAATTTGAGGAGATAAACAATGTATGATGAATAAAAAAAATCGTATCAATTTGTTTTAAAAAATTCTAGGCTTACAAATAACTAGTAAAATCGAGTATTACAAAAATCGAGTAATCTTATTCTTTGCTTTATAGCTATCAATATTTGTCCATAACATATTTCCCGTATCTTGAAATATAAGTATTACGGTTTATTTTTTAAAGAAACCTTAAGAAGATATACTTCTATGGAAGTTAGCATTGATCATTTAATGCTTTATTAAATAAGTACATTGTTATTAATGTTGCTCTAGCTTAAGTACACGTGCTGTAATACAAATCGCCCTCCACTACTGTCAATTAATACTTTTAACTTTGTATTAAATATTTAACCCTCATTTGACTAGTATGCAGCGCAATAGCTACCTTAAATGTTGAGGATGGCGTTTGTTTTGTAGTAATGAAAAATAGGGATTTTGAGGAATTTCTTGAGAGAAAAGCAAATAATGGCTCGAATTAAAAATTCACAAGTATCCTTATTAGTATTTACAGACTAGCCATGAACGTTTTTGAGTGAATATATGTATATAATAACATTAAATATAGAGTTAATTGAAGATTTAGTAAAAAAAAAAGAAAAATTTTTTATTCTGGTTGTCAGGGTTTCTGTTGTTCGTTTCAATTTTTTCGGAGGTTGTTTGGACCTATAGGAACATGCCCTCGAGTTTTCGTAAAAATTCTAGTTGCATTGTAACAAATAATAATTATTAAAAATTAAAAAGTCGATTTTTTTCCGTTATTTTTTTTGTTATGCATTTTATCGAAAAATGCTTCATACAAAAGTTGTGCATCATAATGTCCTCTATAAAAAAAAGTCCTATACAAAAATGACCTAACATTGTTAGTTAAGCAGTTAATTGCAATGAAAAACAAAAATTCTCATTTTACTTTTTGCATCCGTTATCAGCCATTTATGAACATATCATTTTAAAGTTCATCCATTATCTAGAGAAAACCCTCCCCAAAAGGTACGTGCAAGATTTATTGATCTACGTTATATATTTAAGCAACAATCGACGATCTACGAAAATCCGGATTTTTCAAATTTCTATCTCGGAGGAAGGCTTACAGAGTAGAAAAAAAATTCAGGAGCTTCGTTTCTTCATGTACATTCTCGATTAAAAAAAAATGTACATTTTCGTTAATAAAAAACACCATTTTTCGACGATTTAAAATTTTTGCTTATAAACAAATAAAAATAAGTTCTTGAATTATGTAGATATTTGAGATATTCTTCAAGATTATGATGCGTTTTTGTAAGACAAGCAATTTAAAAAGAAAGTTCTAATCGATGTTTATACGTTTCTGCAATTTACCATTGTTGTAATCAAGATTTTTGCAAAATTCGAATTTGTGAGCCATCTCTATTATTTTGGGAATGAGATTCAATATAATACTAACAATTTGGAGCGTTCGTCTCGTTGCGAGTAATTATTTATTCCGATCGCCCGCGCGCGGCTCAGCGAGCAGCGTCGGTCGCTCGGTCGGGCGGCGCAGTGGGGGTACCGAGTCCCGCCCCGCAACTCTCCTCGAGCGGCATAGTTAACAAATTCATTCAACGTATAAACATCGATATCTCGGGTTGTAATAAAGATATTGCAACTTTTTTTTTTAAATTGCTCGTTTTACAAAAACGCATCATAATCTTGAAGAATATCTCAAATATCTACATAATTCAAGAACTTATTTCTATCTGTTTATAAGCAAAAATTTTAAATCGTCGAAAAACGGTGTTTTTTATTAACGAAAATGTAAATTTTTTTTTAATCGAGAATGTACATGATGAAACGAAGCTCCTGAATTTTTTTCTACTCTGTGAGCCTTCTTCGGAGATGGGAATTTGAAAACTCCGGATTTTCGTAGATCGGTGATTGTTGCTTAAATATATAACGTATATCAATAAATCTTGCACGTACCTTTTGGGGAGGGTTTTCTCTAGATAATGGATGAACTTCAAAATGATATGTTACTAAATGGCTGATAACGGATGCAAAAAGCAAAATGAGAATTTTTGTTTTTCATTGGAATTAACTGCTTAACTAACAATATTAGGTCGTTTTTGTATAGGACTTTTTTTATAGAGGACATTATGACGCACAACTTTTGTAGGAAGCATTTTTCGATAAAATGCATAACAGAAAAAATAACGGAAAAAACTCGACTTTTTAATTTTTAATAGTTATTATTTGTTACAATGCAACTAGGATTTTTACGAAAACTTGAGGGCATGTTCCTATAGGTCCAAACAACCTCCGAAAAAATTGGCGCTGTGGTGGGGTCTTTGAATAGGTCGCATGTCTATTCCGACTGGACTATACCTCTTAAGCAAAAAACGTGTGCATGGTTTTATTCTACATGAGTGTCGCTATGGTAGGAACTGCCACGAAATAAAAATATTCAAACATTTAAAAAATGGCAGACATTTGGGAAAAGTTAATCGATTTTCGCCTGAAAAATAGTCGCATTTATTGTGACTGTAAAAAAAATTTTGCAGGAATAACTACCGGTTTTCATGCGAGCTGTAAAAGGGTATGTGATTTGTGCATAATAAAAATATTATAATTTGAGAAAAAATCGTCCGAAGCTTTAAAATGAATTTTCAGATATACGTATAACAAAATGTTACTTACCTGAGGCTAACCTTCAAATTTAAGCCCAGAGGTGTCGATTCAGAAAGTATTACACTTTTCATACATAACTCACAAACGATCAGTTTATTGCAGCAAACACTGAAATTAAATGAATTAATCGATAATAATATCTTCATCGCAATCATGCAACTGACTCTCTCAATCTAACTAATTCTGAAAAACTCTTATTTTTTGAAACACATTTGGATGCACGAAATACATCGGAACACATTCTCGATACACGTGGTATTAAAAAAATGTAAAAAATGAAAATGCATTTTTTCCAACTATACAAATCAAACACCTTTCTTAAGACGGTTACCACTGTATAAGAATAAAAGTTATTATAGGCTAATAAAAATATATTTTAAACAATGTGTAAACAATTTTCTAAAAAGAAATATGGTACAAACATACATATATGAATATATACATGGAGAAAAATGTATAATCGAGGCGATTACTGAAGCAATGGTTATTATTTGGTCAATGAAAACAATTCTAGCAAGATACACAAAGTAAGATAGTAAAACTTACAATACCAATATTGTAAAATTTGACAGAATTATTAAAATTTGCTACTAGAATTATAGTTAAAATTGTAACCATTACTCTAGTAGCCATTTATCGGCATGTAGATGTCGCGCAGTGTAGGCGATGAGGTTGATTGATGAAGAGCAGTGCAGTAAATAGGAAGAACACTATTCGCTAATGTTTGTTCACTGTATAACTATAGGATACAAGATGAAATATTTCAAATTTTTTCGATAATTTTTTTACACAGCTCATACAAAACAAGTCGTTTCGTATTTACGACAGTAGATTAGCGTTTTTTCTACAGGGTATGTACGGTCATTGATTTTATGAGATTTCAAGGCTGCTTTATTATTTTATGAGCGTCAAATTTTCGAACCTATAGGAAAGCAGCTGCTTTCCAGCTTAACGTTACCATTTGAACCTGAAACCAAATCTGAACCTGCACTTTAGTACTTTAAATGTTAAACTTGTACCATTCAATGTTGTTCACAGTTTATTTTAATTGGATATCGTAGCTACAATTCATATCTGCAAATTGGAATAAACTCAGAGTGTCATGCTCATTAAAATCAATGAAATCGCATTTTTAAACATATATACGAATTATGTTGAAAACTTTAGGAATTTTGGACGTTTTGAAAGTGTAAGTTTAGCAAAGGTTGCTACAATTGAGGTAGATTAAGCTTCATTAGATGATTAAACCTTGGCGTTCATGCGGAATTATCCTGTTCCCCTCACTATCGCATGTTCCCATCCTGAGAGTTAGTTGCCCCATATATATGCTCCGTGGGTCACACTAATCGGTATTATAGGTATACCTACTAGCGTGTACACACATCGCATCTTATATTTTGGCAACCCTTCGGAAACTACTCTGCGTATACTTTGGTCAAATTAAATCATGGAAAAATTCCTTATTTATATAGACAGCAATTTATTTTATTAACGTTTAAGATGATTAACGGATAAAAGTTTTTAAGAGGTCATCCAAATTAAAATTTCGATAATTACAATGGGATATCCGAAATTTAGGTAGTTATCGCTGTAAAAGGTGTGGACACAGACCGTAGGATACATGTAGAGTCAGGGTAATGTTTATAAAAAATCCGGAATAATTATTGATTATAATTTTTATAGAATATTTATTTATTTTACTTGTATTTTCTCCTTCGTCAATCTATCGTTTTTTTAATATGCCACACTCAGAAGAGTATATAATCTTCAATAAAGTGTCATTTAACAACTGGAGATAACACGAATTTGAATTAGTCGCAAATTTAATCTTCGTACTGAGGGAATAAAAATATAAAGTACAATAATAGAATACTATATAGAATAGGAAAGCAAGTATCGTTTGTAATAAATAGGTACCTAAATACTAAGACTGTACATAGTTTTAGGGACTATCTATAAAGAGAATAGACACCAGTCACACAACTCTTTCCCTAACTAACGGTCGCACAGCGATTCCACAATACACAGGTATTTTTTTTTACAGGAGAAAATATTTGTACAATTACCTTAATCTTATTCCTTGGTAAGCTTATATACACTATTTTGGCAGTTGGTTCGGCATTTGACCGCAACAGAGAGCCCAATCAAAAATCTTTATACATCTACTTTGTACAATTCTTAAAAACCTAAGGTCAAATCAAACCCTCAAGAGCCCAACTAAGATTATGATGCCCATCGTAATTTTTCATATTTCTGACCATTTTCTATCTACGCCTTTTCCGAGATATCGCTCTTATAAGGCTGAAACAGTTTAGGTGCGTCAATTTTCGTCGTGGCAGAGACCGTTGACGTGTTCAGTGGTCCTGAGTAACTTTTGTTTTCAAACGCACTTTGGATCGTTTGAATTTGCGCGGGTAGTCCAATGGCCATGGTGGTGGGAAGCTTGAGGGGCGGAGTCTTTTCTCCAGAAGATGAGAGGGGGTGTATGTGGGAGTGGGGATGAGCCGCACCACAGTCACAGTCACTTGATGTGTCCGAATGGGAGGGGCTCAGCTCTGGAAGTGTTGGACGGTAAGTGGGGGCTGAAGTAGAGGTCGGTGGACTCACGAATGGAGAATGTGTGTTGGTAGGAACGCCAAGAGTTGGGAGATGCAGGGGCGGCAAGGCTGGGTGAGGCTGAAGAAGATGATGGTGGTGAGGATATGCTGGACTCTGTGGGTGTGGCCTGTGAAGTCCAGTCGATGTCGTCGCTGGCGCACTGGCTGGATAAGGATTATAACGCGCTGTATAATACGCGGCTGCTGCCGCTGCAGGGTAATTTGGCGCTAGGTGCGTAGGCGGCAAACCGGGGGTCCCGTGATATGGTGGTGGCGGTAGGGTTGCTGTTGCTGCAGCTAACAGGGTTGCAGCCAATGTAGGATCCGTATATATGGCGTACGGCCATGCCATCGCCATCCTTTGTCTCTTATCCTTCATTCGTCGATTTTGAAACCAGACCTAAAACAGAAATACAGAATGTGTTTTATAAAGCATATTCCATGTTCAAATGTTATGCAACTAAAATTAACAAGTTCAATGTGACATGAAAAAGGACAATTTTATACTGCAGAAAATATGTTAAGACTAATGAATTCAAAATTATTACGATTACTCCAACTCCTATAGTTATAATGGAACCCTTCAAGAGAACTAGAAGTAATATAATAGTTCGAGGCGGCAGGCGAAAAGGAACGGAAAGTATGTAAAAACAATCAAAAATAAAAGTCTGACAGGAGCTCCTGGGAAATTAAAGGATCCATTAAAGTCACAAAGCTGCCGAAATCTCGCCTCTACTAGTATCCCGCTAATCAAGCTGCTTAGCACCTTGCCCGTCGGTTGGATGCGTCTCACTCTTCAGGGCCGTACGTATGGGCGGCCAAAAGATGAAAAGTTCCAACGGACCGACCGGCGGCACTTTTGATCGAAGTTGTGCCTTCCTCGAGATATTTACCCTCGGTGATTGGTGATTTAACGAAGACATGAACAAAGGGATTCTCTTACGTGTTATAATGACTGATCAAACATGGCCGAACCGACAAGAAAGCTATCAAGGCCGCTGACACTCCTCCTTTCATATATAAGAAAAAAAAGAAAAAACGTAAGTACACGAAAGTAGTCGCAACCACTGCAACAGTCTTATATGATATCGACTCATGAGCCATCTTCCTGTCCTTATGAGACTTCTGGCTGACTGCTGGTTCCTTTAGTACTTAGAACGCCATTGATCATTCAGTATTTTCCTCTTTTTCTACTCTGGGAAGCATATATATTGCTTTGGTTAATTAATAGTCAAATAGGCTATGTAAATTTTTTAACACTCAACGTTGTGCCCTTTTTGCATTGTAAAAAATATAGTGCGAAATTTAACACCGTTTTGATACCAAAAGTGGTACATATAGGTCCATACCAATTACCGTGTCAACGAGTAGTGTAAGGCAGCTAGTGTTACTTGGCATTACATTACTTGGCATGTTACAAAATAACACGACTTGCAGTTATAAGTGACACCTAAAATCCTCGCAGAAATCGTGTCGTGTATTCAGGATCATTAAATATAGAAAAGCTTATTAGATTACTAATATTCTATTAAATATATCAAATATACAATTTTCGAAATACAATAATTCTATAATTAAAACAAATATTAAAAAATGTGGCCATACTCGTGTAATTAGTATTTATAAATAGTATAGTAAGGGGATCAATAGATCTATTGACTTCGAACAATTTAATGAAAGATTGTCAGTTTAAAAATAATAAACAGAAGTTGGTTAGTAATACATCGAATAATATCAAGGGTCAGTATCATCAATACATATATTAGACAGCTTAGCAGATTTAATTATCATATATAATGCGCAAACACCATTTACGATATACTCAACAGCAAGTTGTAGTTATTGATTTATATCTTTTCAGAATTTGGCAAAACTTACTGATACTGTATACACAAATATTGATAATTATAACTCTTAACCTGAGCAACGTTTACAATTTGTCTGGTGGCTCATCACACATACCCATATGTATTGATGATACTGATGATGATATTGATGATATTGATGATACTTACCCTTCACCCTTGAAACCATTCCATGTATTACTAACCTACTCCTGTTTATCATTTTTTAACTGAGAATATTTCGTTAAATTTTTTGAAGTCAATGCAGAAAGTTTATTAGAATGCTTGTCTGAAAGATTGTTTAGAAAATCTGTCGCAACCTCGTCAGAATTGTTACAGGATATCCGAATATAGTCGCTCGCATTCTTAGTTCCAAAATTTCATCTTAATATCTCAAAAGAGGAAACTGTAAAAGTCCAAATCGGAATAATTTCAGGATATCTTAATAGGCCGTGGCGTCGTTAGTTCTAAAATCGACTACAGAATCGTTGATGAGTAGACTGCTTAGTATCTTATAAGAATATTAAAAAACAAAACCTATTTATGATCTTGCTAGGAATATCCTATTTGCGGAATCCTTTTTGAATCATGATTAGGATTTTTCTATACACAGAGGAAATACACAAAGGAATTCCCACTCTAGGTTTTCTACATTTTTAATCTAATTGCATTTCACTACAGTCTGACGATAATTTTTTACGGTGTAAACTATACCGCAAAACCCATAATTTCCGACCCTGTACTCGTTAACTTTCTTAATTACTCGAAAACCGTTAATTAAGTTAAAATCTCGCCAAGGTGCTAATGGCTGATATTTATTTACATTAATCGCTATGAACGTAGTAGCGTCACTTCTATCTCTGTTACTACAGAATGAATATTTAATGAGAAACTAACTTGCATCAGTGTTCATCAATAAGAAGTCAAGGTTTATGGAAGTAAACAACGCGTAGCAGAACACCGTCAAAATCGTTAGAACGTAACATTGTATGTAAAAGAAGGAGAATTAATTTTAGACGCCTCGTGTACTACTTATTGAAACAAGTGAATATTATATCGATTATTATTCTAGTATGAAAACATTGTAACATGATAAATCTAAACATTGATAACTAATGCCTGAATACTATTATTCATAAAATACGTGTGAGGAGGGTACGAACCTTAATTGTCGATTCGGGCAGCTGCAATTGAGCGGCCAATTCGCACCTCCGCGGTCGGCTCACGTAATTCTCGCGATGGAATTCTTTTTCAAGACGGGATAACTGTTCCCGAGTAAATGCTGTTCTGTAACGTCGGCTGTTCGGGTCCATCGAGGATAATGGTTGTTGCGGCTGATGCGATCCCGAGGATTCTGAAATATCGAATTGTTTCGGTTAAAAATAGCTTCCGGATTTGAGCCGCGTCTAAAAGTTTTAATTCACCAACTAAAACCTATACAATTCTTTTTTGCTATATCATTGAAATAATTTATAAAGCAGCAGTGATGTCAATATAATTATAGACCACTTTTTAAAAAATTTTTTCAATCAGGAGTTCATGTTCTATTTTTCTTATTTGATTTGCATGATTAACCATTTTTTTGTTTAAGAAAACAGTATGCTATTAATCGTATTTAATGCAGAGACGTGGATTATCAAACTATACTCAGCTTCAAACAGTATAATGTACCCCAGCAGCCAGTTAAAGGAAAAATTATCTACGGTCAATAAAAATTTAAGTTTCTTGAAATTGGGCATGGGACTGCAGTAAAATAATTACCGCAATAAACTCGGGACCCCGGGGATACAGACAAATTCTTAAGAAGGATTGCAATACTGTTAGTAAGGTCCCAATGAAGAATCCTTTATGGTTTTGACCATTACCTACTTCACGTTTTACAAATACCTACGAGGACAACTATCAATTGGATTACACCCAGCAATTATTATCTTTTGTCAACTTACTAATTCGCCGTTAACCTCTTGGACTATCAACACCATGCTAGATAATTCTGTGGGAACTATTAATATGATATCGTGAACTTGTTGAAATATATACTTTTTATATGTACGTCACTTATAAACATTTTTCATTTTGAGGAAATTCAATGTTGGTAAAGAATATACTCAAACAGATAAGGTTTCACTTAATTTTTTTTTAGAAAACTTACCCTTTTCGGGAGTTTTTGACATGTTTCCATGCAATGGACTATGAGGCGGACTCAGCTGATATTGCGGTGGCACCAGGTCTACGACGATAGTCTCTTCTTCTCGTTGATCTCGTTGCTGCTCCTCGAAATTACGTTGATAACCCTGCATCTTCTTTGACGAGACACCAAGAGGAACTTCTAATCACTCAATTATGGTTATAATATTATCTTCGATAACACTTCACTGATCACTGTAGAAGAAGTCAAATGACTTAGTTAACACTTATGATGGATCTTAAAGCTCGTTTCGCGATTCTCAAACTTCTTCACGCTCCTCGACGACTCCGAATCCAGTGCTTAAGAGCGACTGTATTTTCCTGTGTGACCAGCAGGGATTTTATAAAGTCTCCTGAGGACTAACTCACACTGTCAACAGTCGGGACCAGCCGAAGGCACAGCCATTGTTGCCCGAAGCTGTCCGATTGGTGAGCAGGCGCTATGACTGTTTGGCGATTGGTCCTTTGCACTTCTAGTGACGCCCCTATATTACGACACTCTTACTCAATGCGTTTTCCAGGGAAAATGCTCCTTAAACGGGGCGAACATCAGTAAGGTAAAATTTAGCCGAAAATTATCTCGAATAATTTATCTTGTTATATGCATCTGTTTTAACACGAATTTCACTCCGATTAAAAAAAAGTTTTTTTTCGGGGAAATGATTTGTTAATTTGATTAGAGTATGTGTTTGAAAATAGATCATATTTTCTGTGGAATTTATGTTTCTAACTTTATATCCAGTGGACTTTTGTATACAGTATAACCAGCATTCAAAATAATATTCTGGCAAAAAAATGAGAACTGTGCCTACATACATCTGGGAATGTGTAGGCGTCGCAGAAACTACAGATTATGAAATAACGTAAAACTGTCTTAAAAGGATTTTCTTTCCACAATAGTTTTGCTCTATTTTAGATATTTTAATAACTAGGACAGAAATAAGAGATCCCTTTGAACTATGCATATTTCAGAGTGGCCAATTCTTGAATTACTAACTTTTTTTTCAGAGAAACGGTGTGCTTCCTTTTTGAGCGATTTTACAGTGATAAATAAAAAGAGTATGCGTTGATATGAGTGCAGTGTGAAGCGAATCATTTTTTATTTTTGCAAGGAACTATGGGAGCGACCATCACTCGTTCCCTATAGGTCCTATATGTATACGAAATTACCTGAAATAAGAATAGAAAGAAAGCAAGAGCCAAGGTACAGGATTACAACCAGGTACCTTTACTCCACTGACAAGTAGATTAACAATGATTATGTTCTTTGGTCACACTCCGAATAGCTAACCTCATTACTGCAATAAATCAAATTTTGGTAAATTTCGTTCAGGTGAACTAATATTCTCTGCAAACATTCATTTTCAATCGTAAAATTTACAATAATTTTGGCAATTCATATGTGGTTCTAAATGTTGGCCTTCATTACTATACATAATTTCAAACAAATTTGGTTTTTCTCCTCATTATTTTAATTAATTTTAAAACTTCGAGATGTTTTGGCTTTAGTACTAAATTCCTAAAGACACATGCAACAAGGTAAGTTATGTGTAGAATACTGTAAATTATTTGTCAAACGTTTCTAACCTCCAACTTCATTCTAATCCCACAAATTCTTCGTTAGTCAATGGGTAGTTGTTACTTAATACAGGAGACCCATGATATTTTTTATTTTACAAATATACGTTTGAATATATTACATTGAAGATTTTATTCGAAAGAAGATTATAACTTATGAGTCTCGATAAGTGTCAGTCTTTTTTCTTGAAATCAATTTGACTTTGGATTGTAGATATTTCCTATAACGAATCATGGAATTTCTCGTTAATCACCAAAATACATCTTATTACGACTATGACTACGGATCTAGGAAAACTTTAAAAAATAGTTGTAAGTTATTTTATGAATATTTTAAAAATCAGGTCAGGAAAAATCAATTTAAGCGATGCATACTAAATTTTCCAACGAAAAAGTTAAGCTGATTCAGTACTATATAAAGACAAAGAAAAAGAGAAAATATTTGTGTCGTTTTCTTATATTTTATTTCTTGCCGCAAATAGGAAAATAATGAAAGAATTTTGTTTCATTTTGCTTTATAATGTACGTAGCGAATATAACTCAATGCGTTGAATCTACATAATTATTTTAATACCGTAAGATGTGATGAGAACGTTTATCGCTGGCTGTGCTTCATAGCTGGTGAAGGCAGCGTATCATATTGGGGGTTGAAAAAAAGATATAATATTATAAATTTCTATTTAGCCTTCTTATCGTACATAAATAGAATGGAACAGTAGTAATAATTCACAAAGGATATCGTCTATATTAGATGTAACGTCAAATAATTTTTTATAATTTTTCTATGACAGTAGCCTAATCAAAGTAAAAAAATTACGTAGATTGATACGTAGCTCGAAGCAAAAAATTTGAAAACACTTTAGCAGTACCTATCACTGACAAAATCATGCATCCTTACATTTCCTTTCTGAAAATGATGAATAGGCCCGTGCTTATAGGACCAATTGCGATGCCATAACAAAAATTGGAGCAACGGTACCAATCCCTACCAAGGTTGTATTTCATCTACGTAAAATATCTTTATTGAGGTTGCTATTTTCAAAAACTGTATCAATCTTTTTGACCGTACCTAATTCACTGCACCCGCTAGTGTTAGTTTATTTAGGAAAACTGGTGTTTTTTTTCTTGAGGAAACATGCCGACGCGGAAGAACCATGCTCCATAAATTATAATAGGATGGTAGCTATTATTTTGACCATAGAAATGAAAAGGTACACGTAGGTATACGCAATTCTAAGTAATTCTTTGTGAATTACATCAGTCGTTTAAAAAGTGGAGCAATCGCTGTTTGCTTTATTACTATTTGGGAGGGAATTTTACAATTTTCGAAAACATTTCAGCGTACTTATTTCGCCTGCAGAAATGTTTTTTTTTATGTCAGAAAGTGCTCGAGAATGTTTAGCTCAGTATTTATTACGAGTATCTCCACTAGGTAGGGGATAGGTGTGTCTGAAACAGCATAACGCATATCACGGCAAAATGAATTTCGTCTCAGACACCTTTTCCTTTTCATCTTTATTTTACATAAAATAGTAACACCTGCGACGCAGAGAAATCCAGTGGTCGTCAAGTGTGCGTGTAGCAGATTTTTAGTTAAACAGTGAGTTTGATCATAAAATCGAAACGAGGAGAACCGAATATTTTATTGGTACTCATTAAAGTAGCTCTAACTTCAACCCTTTTTCCCTACGCGGCTCGGTTTAAAAAAATCAATCTTGCAAACAGGACTATACAAGGGATCTTTAAGACAACCCTTAGTTTTTTTTAATCATATAATCCTCTTATGCCAACAACTCGAAAATCCAATGAACGGCCAACACCCAAGGCGAGAGGAACAAAGTGAAGAAGTACCGTCTAACACCAACGAACTCTCATCTAGTCGACGAACGATAAATATTCCTTAGGACATTATAACCTTTCACCAAGAACCGGCAAACAAACAACTATCTTTATACTTATTAGAAAATTAAATTTAATCCTTTTATATTATTTTTTGAATCGTACTCCCTATACAATTTTTCAGTGTTTTCAGGACGACATGCCTCAAGTTTTTTTTTTGTTTTTTTAGAGAAAAAGGGTTCCCAACTACTAAGGTCCTTCCCACCTCTAAGTTGAAACATCATTTTACCATATTACAAATAGGGGCTATTCAAAGCATAAAAAATAAATGTGAGTATTGTAATAGTGTGTGACTATGTTTGACGTATGAAACATCGTTTGACTATTCTCGAGAAATTTGAAATATTTTACAATAGTTATAATAAAGCTAGAATAAAAGTTGACTTTGGTGATGTGATTCTGATTGAATTAAAGTAATTACTTCTATCATTATGAATTTCTCTTTTATTCAGGAGATAGCCAAAAAATTGTTCAAAAAAATCTATAATACGCTTCTCATTAGTTATATATTTTGATCAGTGAAAAATATGTTAAATATATGAAAAATTGACGGGAATATTGCTAAATTAAGTATTTTGAATCATTTTACAGTTTATAAACTTTATAAACTTTATAAAGCATTTAGGTAGCTCTATCCGTAAATATAATGAGAAACACAAAAGTTGGCAGTGATTTTCAACTTGACTCTTTGGAAAGCAATTGCTTATAATTTAATTACAAATACGTATCGTTAAAAGAGGGAATATTAAATATAAGCGCAATAAATCGTTTATGACATCGAAGAACCTATTTTGAGCAATAATTGCTTTGAAATACATATACATATATATATATGTATTACTGTGCATTTTATATTTTCAGATACTCATAAAATTCTTATCGATTCATTTTTCCTAAATACATTATGTAAAACTTTATACAATAATATCAGAATCTTAGGATTGCAGATAACGCCTAATAATGAAACTCATGATTATTAGACACAAAACCTATCAAGTATATATGTATATACACATATATGATATGGTGATTTTATATAAAATAATTAGCATACGAAAAGCAAGTTCAATCAGATAAATTCTATTCATGTTCTTCTTTGTTTTTAATAGTCATTCATAAAAATACGATTATCCAGCAGAAAAGCTAAATTATGAAAATTGACCAATTGATCATTTGTTCGACTACAAATCTAGCAATAGAAAACATAATATCAATTCAGCGCTATCAGCTGCCACTCTAATGTAAAAATATGATATATCAGTCTGTATACAGAACTTAAATGAAACTCGCTGTGCGTTAATATAAGTAATTTATTTTTAGAAACACAAGTTAATAAAATTGTTGCCTAATTGGTAATCTGGCCATGTTCAGAACCTATAAAAAAAATTACAGTTCTTAGTTGTTACACTGAATTTTGAATAAAAAACAAACATAAATAATAAATGAAAAGCTACTGTAAATTTTAAACTTCAATATACTAGCGTAAGATGTAGAGAGAGAAAATCAATCATTTCAAAGCAGAATTTTGGTTGGCTTTCACAGTTTACAGCTGTGCAGAGCTATATGCGTTGCGTATCTGTATAGAGCTGATGTATACAGGTACAAGGGTTAAATTGGCAGAAACAGCTAGAGCAGATGCGGTCGCAATCATGCCACTGATTAAACGGTTTGATTAAGCGTCTAATTTGGCTGCGCGTACGGTGTAACATTGCTTTATGTAAAATCCATATTCACGCATGGATTCGTATTCCTATGTATACACAATACACATACAGTAATGCTTGCCTCTGCTTTTGTTATCGTTATTCATTCTTATGTCTTTTTTCAGTTTAGGTATATGGTCCACCACACCTATGTTCGACAGTTTATTATGTACTTTGCACTGTATGCAGTGAGCTTAATCAAACGTTCCCTTTTAGTTTGTAAAATTTTTACTGATTTTCTGATTTTAATTTCTAAAAACAACGTGTTAACTCTTTGAAAATGGACAATTTCTAATAAAGGAATACTTATGTGAAATCATAGTCTATAGGTTTTTAAGATCGCTGAAGTTGACTCTGGCTTTAAAAAAACTAAAATTCCAAGTAGCGAATTCAATGTGGCGAACCACAGTTTTAAAAAGTGGTACTATTACAGTGCGACTCATTTTGCAAAGGGTTCTGGAGTCACTAAATTCGTATCTGACTTTAAAAATTGAAAATTCAAAATGGTAGTTCAATTATGTAAACCATACATTCAAAAATTAGACCCGACTTCATTCGGCTGATTTGCGGCTAGAAATACATCAAAACAGTCCTGCGTAGTCATACGTATCTAATTTCTATACTTGTATATACATATGTATATACAACCCTCTCTAACCATTCATACACATTCGTCATTAATACACATCTAATCACACCCGCAATTTGAATCTGCCATTTTCAATGTTATATTTCTGACCTCAGATTCAAAAAGAGTACCGCCGGAAACCCTTATCATGCGATTTACATGAAAATGATTAAAAATTTTCATTTTTGTCACTTTTCACTCATCCTCATCATATTGTATTTTCGAACTTTGACCTTAGATTTAAATAAATCATTTTTTTTTAAATAGAAGCTCAAGTTTCATAAAAACTGAGCTCATGAATTC